GGTGAGCATTCTGGAAGTCAAGCCTAGGCAGGTTCTCGAGTCGAGCCGCCGTTTTGAAGCCTACCAAGTGTTTTGTGTGCTCCGAGCCGGGGCTAGGCTTGGAAGGCCGTTTTGTGAGCTTTGTCTTGTATATGAATTTTGATTATATGTGATGTAATGTAGTGGGTAAATTAACATTTTTGGCATGTAATGTATGTTCATATAAATGCACAGCTCTTTGGACTATTAGTGTTTTGTTTTCGCTTCCGCGAGCCCCTTTTATTTATGTTTGTATAGCAAGGCCTGTGGTAATCTAGGATTACTGGCCGGTCTCGTTGCCAAACTTCTAGGGGCGAGTTTGGGGCGTGACAGAATGTCTTGCTTTTTCGTAAGACATGATTATGCGGCAAAAAATGACGTTGTCCCGTGCAACAAGTTTTCTTCCAATAATGCAAGAATTGGTGAGATGCATCCTCATTACATGAAAGACAAGCCAATTTCCTTTTGGTGCTCCAACCGGATAGGTTACCATATGCAGGGAAATCGTTCATGGTCTATAACAATGCGACACATAATTGAAAATTCTAGCCATTTGATGCATCATATGTCTCTACCCCTACCTCTTATAACTCCTTTAACTCATCTATCAATGGCTGTAAAAATACATCAATGTCAAACCCAGGAGCCCTACACCCAGGAATAAGCAAAGGCATCATAAAAAATGGATCCTTCATACATTTCCTTGTGACACTTCATATCAGTAGCCGTCTTCCTTGATATGAATATCCTTTGTAGTCTTGGTTTTAAAGGAAAGTATTGTAGAACCCTGTGAGGGATCTTTTTACCTGTGCCTTTACCTTTACGAACTTTGAATCTTGGCACTTTGCAAGTAGGACACTCATCTTCATTTTCGTACTCCTTCCAAAAAAGTACGCAATCGCTTTTGCATATATGTATTTTTGATAGTCGAGGCCCAAATCTCGAATTATTTGTTTAGTCTCATTGTAAGAGCATGGAAGCATTTCACCAATGGGAAGTGCCTCCTTCAACAATTCTAGTAACATCGTGAGTGATTTGTTGCTCCATCTATTAAATATCTTTAGATGTAACAACTTAACCATGAATGATAGTTTGGAGAATCGTTGGCAATCTAGATACAAATCTTGCTCCACATCTCTCATTAATCTTGCAAATTTATTTGTTTATCCGCCACAACTACTAGGTAAGTCAGGATTACGACTATTAGATGCTTCTCCTACATAACCAAATGTGGTTGCTCCAATTCGTATATCATGAATAATTTCTTGCACCTCAGTATTTGGGCTATTTGACTTCTCTGTTACATTATTAAGATATTCGTCATTTTCATTTTGTGAGTCATTATGGTCATTTAATTCAAAACCTTCCCCATGATACACCCACCTAGTGTAACTTGTAACCACCCCATATGCATACAAATGAATTTCAACTTCCTCTATGGTTTTTTGAATATGGTTGTTGCATCTATAACATGGATACCAAATCTTATTTGTCCCTGGTTTCATATGATCATGAGCAAACATGATAAATTCCCTTACCCCATCAATGTACTGAGATGACCTTCTATTATGAAGTTGCATCTAACTCCTATCTGTGGTGAAAAAGAACTAAAGAAGAAAAGAAGAGAAAGAAAGAGAGAAAAAGAGAGAGAGAGAGAGAGAGAGAGAGAGAGAGAGAGGAGAAGAAGAAGAAGAAAAAAAGGGTAAAAGCTTAAAAAATAGGATATACTAAAAATAGGAAATAATGTACTTAATAAAATAAAAAATCAAATTTCTAAGAAAGTGATGAAAGAATGAAATCCATGGACTTATTTGGTTGGATTTGAAATCCATATGTCATATGATCAACCGAGTAGGGCGCAAGGATTGTAAGATCAGATTTCAAATCTACTTCATTTGAAATCCTTAAGATAAAAAACAGAGCCTTAAACTATTTAACAAAGATTATAAATGTACTCACATAATCATCAATTCATACAGATTCTACAAAATTCTAATCAAATTCAGAATAAAATAAAATAAAAAAGCACAAAACAACAAAATTTATAAGAGCAACAAAATCATATGTTCGAAATTGTAAAATTTTCCAATAATTCAAACCTAAGGAATCCAATTATTCAAGCAATAGCAAAAAAATAACTTAATCAAAAGCCACACACAAAAAAAATAAAGAAGAAGAAGAAGAAGAAGAAGAAGAAGAGATAGAATAGACATACCGACTTACTGAAACAAATCTCCTTAGCTTTTTCTATAACCCTAGCAGTAATCTTCTTCAGATCCGCTTCGACGTAGGGCAAAACATCAATAGCCCCTGCAATTCAGAAGAAGAAAAAAATATATCAAAACAATCAATTCACTACATGAATCTGTATATATAGAGGATTGAAAGAAGATAATACCCTCGGGGATGAAATTATTGTCGAGATCAAAAGCAATCAACGAGATCCGTAGAGAAGAACCATTGCATTTGCGAGAGAAAAAGAAATTAGGGATTTGAGTGAGAGAGAGAGAGAGAGAGAGAGAGAGAGAGAGAGAGAGAGTGTGAGAGAGTGATCGATCTATCACAATTTCGATCAAGCTATCTGTCCTGACTATTGAGTTCAAAAATGAATATATAAAATAACATAATGTATGATTTGGGTTTATTAGGGACCAACAAAAATTGTAGGTAAAAGCGGCTGATCCTTTTTCAACCAAATAGTCTTGTTTAAATTCCTCCATTTCATCCTTAAAGTATAATTTTTGTAGACAAATTATTTTTGTTCCTAAAAATTTGTCTTTAAAACCTTAATTTCTTGTCTTTCTTTTCAACAATTAATTTTTTTAACTTAAGACTGTATTTGATTGGAAGATTTGATAAAAGAAATGGAAAAAGAAAAAGGAAACGCAATCTCACTTTTTATTTGGTTATAAAAAAAAAATATAGGAAAAAAGAAAGTTATGGGAAATGCAATCTTACTTTTTGACTTTTTGGTTCAGACTCTTTATAAATTTTCCAACCAAACACATACTGCAAAAAATTAAGGTTTCAGAGACAAGGATTTAGGGACAAAATTATTTTTTAGGAACCAAATATTTTTGTTGCTAAAATTGTCATTATTATATTTTTAGCAACAAAAATTGGATATTAGTAATGAATTATTATCCTTTTGGGATCAAATTTTTTGTCTCAAAAAATAAATCATTTTGAGACTAGGTTATTTTGTTCTTAAAAACCTATTTATTAGTGACATTTTCAAAATTGTCGCCGAAAGCCTTATTTTTGGCTTTCTGGGACGACCTTCTAGCTACTATCATCTCGACGATAGAAATTGATTCTTAAATATCTTTTGTAACAAAATTTTCACTTTTAGAGACCAAAAAAATTGATTTTTAAAACTTTTATATGTTGTAGTGACAGTCTAACTGCTTCATAAATTTATTATATTTTAATTTTAACGAATGCATTAGAGTTGCTCTAACTATCTCTGTTTGGAATATCACTTTGGGCTAAAATAGTCATATATAACAAAATTGTCTATTTTAGCTAAATAAGACAAAATATCACATTCAATTCATAATTATTTCATTTTTTTTCTCACAAAAGTCAAAAAAGCTAAAAAACCTATCCCAAACAAGACTTTTTAGTACACCCAAAAAAAATAAAAAGATAAAAAATATGTACTTATTAATACACCCCAAACTTGGTCTCACCCCAAAAAAGTCAAAAAGCCGAAAAGTCAAAAACCAACCCAAAGTTGGACATGGGCCCAAGAAATATCCATTGGCCAAGAATATTGGACCAGCCACAAGGGCTCAGCCCAATTAGATGGGCTCAAGCCTAATAAAGCAGTCATTTTAAGCCTCCCATTTTGGAAGTTTCCAAATTCCAACTCTCCTTATCTGCAGTAAGACCTATGAAAGTGCAAAAAATATAAAAACAAAAATAAAAAAATTATTACAGAAAAAATAAAAAGTTAGCAGTGAAAATTGCTAAAAAGTAATTGCCAAGCAAGTTTGGGATCAATTTTTAAAAATCTTGTATTTTAAATTTTTTTTTTTAGTGATTTTTTTAATTTGTGTTAATTCTTTTTTTTTTTATAGAAAATTTTAAAGGATCTAAAATTTAAAAAATAAAAAGCTGACTTTATTTTTTTGCTTTTCTTTCTAATCTTTAGAAATATTATTTTTTAATCTATTTAGTCGGGCGCTACCTATAAAAATACTATTTTTAAAAAAAAGTTACTATAAACAAAAAAATTATTACGAAAAATTAATTAGTCAAAAATTTACCACTCTCTTTATAATTTTTGTACCTTTTTTCGTATAAAATTAAAAAAAATGATTAAAATGGCTAATTCCTAAACAAAAATGAAAGAATTTGGGGAGTTATTTTATTTTTATTTTTTTTAAACTAAAATAGGTAAAAAGTCGCTTTTTTTTTTTTATACAGGTTTTTCTATAAAAACTAAAAAATAACTAAAATAGTGAATTTAAAACTAGCAAACACTTTGAACCGAATTCAGGGATGCTACTGTGACTAGGTATTTTGGGGGAGTTAGTTAAAAGTTATTTTTTTAATTTTTTTGATTTTATTTGTAAAAAAATGTGTAAAAAATATATGGTGATGTGACTCAAAATTGATTAAAAGTTGATTTTTGACTTTTAATCAAATTCTCAAATTGAGCCTAAGTCATAGTAGCCATGTGTGGTGTTCTAGTAAGGATTTTTTTCTAAGTGTTTTTTCCTTATAATGCGAATGTTGTAGAGTTTGTTGAATAGATTTTTTGTGCAAAAAATTAAATTAATTGAGAATTTATACTTTTATAACAATAGCATATTTGTTTTTTAAAAAATAAACAATTAATATAATCTTGATAATTTTTTTAAAACAATTTGAATCTAATTATAAAATTATTAATTTCAGATTAACTTAATTTTTTTATTTGTATAACAAACCTTATAAATTCAAACCATAAAAAAAAATTGAAAACAGATTCCTGCTGTATCCCAAATTCGTTAGAACCCGCCTAACCCGACATCAAGTCTGCAGGAACTGTAGTAGCTGGAGAGGAGAGAGAGAGAGAGAGAGAGAGAGAGAATGGCAGGGCATGAGGAAGCAGACAATGCAGAAGCCATAATCACCAGAATCGAGCACAAGTCTCGCAAGATCGAGAGCTTACTCAAACAGTAAACCCTCCAATTTCCATTTCTACACATTCACACACACATATTCATATGGAAAACCCTAAATTCGATCTGGGTTTTGTGTGTTTTGTTAGGTATAAACCAGTGGAAGCTCTCAAGACAGCTCTCGAAGGCTCGCCTCCCAAGACCAGAGACGAAAGATGCAAGGTTAATTACTTTTTTTTTTCCTTTTCTTTTTTTTTTTGATTTTTTTGTGATTTGGAATTTGAGAAAATCTGATTTGGGTTCTGGGTTTTTTTGTTTTCAGTCAGCGAATTGGATTGTGGTTCATAGGGCACTTATGGCTATCAAAGATGTGGATGGGATGTTCTCTTCTCTTGATCCTGAGTACTATGATATTCTCATGAAGTAAGTCCCTTGAATTTCTATTTGCCTTTTACATTAGAATGATTGTAAATTGTAATTGAATTGTTTCCAATTTGAGGACAATGGGTTGCTGATCTTGCCCCTCAACTTTCTATAAAAAGATAATTTCATTGCAAACAACACAAAAGAAATAAATCATATTACTAATTCATTGTATGCCAAGAAACTAATAGTGACATTTCGTGAACTTGGGTTCACTTGCAAGAGGTTATTGGGTAGATGAATTTCGCTACTTTTTGCATCCTCTATTGACTCATTTCTTAAAGCAATTTGAGGATTCATTTTATAATCATAAGAAAAGATGTTATCATTTCCCAGAAGATCTTCTATGTGCAAGTGAAGCAAATTTGTGGGGATTAGTTGTATTGTTTCTAACCAAATAGGTTAATTTAGGTTGAAGGCTCCAAATGTGTCCTGGCTGAGGGCACTACTTGTTGCAAATTGGGTATGACAGTCTGGGTCTGTGTTTTAAGGAGAGCTATTTACAGGGTTGATACAGGAGACATCTCTGCATTCATTCTTTCATTCACTGATTGGTAGAGGACTCTAGCTTGTAAGTCATGGAACTTGCAAAATAAACCAAAATAATTTGGGCCCACTCCAGCTCACATTACAACCCAAAACTACATAAAATGTACATTGATAGTGAACTTAAAAAAAAAGCATATATGCCCCTGATGACAGATGAGAAAACTTGTCTCTATAGATTAATCAAAGGAGTACAAATATATAAGTGCTAATAGAATGAAACCCTAACAACCTAAAGGACTAAACTATCCTTAATGAATAATATAAACTACAATAAGTCACACCCCCCTCAAACTGAGAATGCGAGCGCAGAAAGTATCGAAAGTTTGCCAAGAAGAAAACGAAAACGGACAACAGTGTGAGTCTTCGTAAAAAAAATGGGCCAACTGAAGAGAAGAGGGAACAAACGGGAGAGTAATAGTGCTAGCCTGAAGATACTGTCTGACAAAGTGACAATCTATTTCAACATGCTTGGTCCGCTCATGGAAGACTGAATTATGGGCAATCTGGACAGCACTCTGATTATCACAATACAACGGAGTTAGATTTGAAAGAGAGACACCCATATCAGAAAGAAGCCATCGAAGCAAAACAATCTCGGAAGTAGCATGAGCCATGGCACGATACTCAGCCTCAGCGGTGGAACGAGCAACAACAGACTGTTTCTTACTCTTTCAGGATATGAGAGAATCGCCGAAGAAAACACAAAGACCAGAAGTAGATTTGTGATCAGAGATGTCACCTGCCTAATCAACGTTAATATAGGTATGAAGAGTCAAGTCCGAAGAGGCAGATAACAGCAAACATTGCAACAAAGTACCACGAAGGTAGCGCAAAGTACGAAGTAAGGAAGCCGAGTGTGTGGAACGAGGAGCAGAAACAAACTGATTGAGAATGTGCACAACATAAGAGATATTCGGACGAATGATGGTGAGATAAACAAGGAACCCAACCAACTCGCAATACAAAGTGGGATTCTCAAGAGGAACGCCATCAGAAGTAGAAAACTTAGCATGCAACTCAAGAGGAGTGTCGACAATTTTCTCATTAGTGAGATTGGCACGAGAAAGAATATTACGAGCATATTTAGTCTGAGAAAGAAGATACCCAATAGGAGAAGTAGCAACCTCAATACAAAAAAAATACCAAAGAGACCCCAAATCCTTCATCTCGAACTCCTGAAACAACTAATGCTTAATCTCCTCAATAATAGTATAATCAAAGCCAGTGATGATCATATCATCCACGTATAAGAGAAGGAGAACAAGGCCAATAGAAGTGCGCCGAACAAAGATAGTACAATCATGATGACTAGGGCGAAAACCAAGCTGAAGTGCAACAGAGTGAAATCGCTCATACCAAGCATGAGGAGACTGCTTGAGACTATATAGAGCACGGCAAAGACGACAAACAACACCAGGAGGGTGAGAGAGACCTGGTGGAGGGCGTATATACACTTCTTCAGCAAAATGCCCATTCAGAAAAGTATTTTTGACATTTAGTTGAAACAAAGGCCAATGATAGGCAGCGACAATAGAGATAAGAGTGCGAACAGTAGTCATCTTGGCAACGGGGGCAAAAGTCTCATCGTAATCAATCCCATACTTCTGGAAAAAGCCCTGGACAACCAAACGAGCTTTATACCGTTCCAAAGACCCATCAGAAAGGGTTTTGACCTTATAGACCCATTTACAGCCTACAATATTCTTGTCAGCAGGTATTGGAACCAAATCCCAAGTCTGAGCGTTAGCCAAAGCAGTTAACTCGTCGTTCATGGCAGCAATCCAATTGGGATCATGACAAGCTTCCTTGTAGGACCTGGGCTCAAAATATGTATGAAGACAAGAAAGAAAAGACTGATAGGAAAGAGAAAATCATGTATTACCAAAACTATACCAGTTCGGAGGATGACGGTCTCGTTTTGGAAAGCAATGTGCAGGAGGAGTGGGATCCAAAGAAACAACTGGAGGGACAGTGGAGCTAGAGATAGGCAAGCTCGGGAATGCTTTGTAGCGCTGATAAACAAGAAGAGAAGCAAGGGAAATGGGAGTTAGAGAGGAAGTAGTTGGTGAGATATCAAAAGTGCTAGTAAGAGGCAAAGTAAAAACCTCAAGGTCAGAAACAAACTCATTAGGAGAAACATCAGGAGGAATGGGTCAACATGAACCCATTTATCCTTAGTAATAGGGACAGGGGTGGAAGGTATAGTGTAGTAGGGTAGTTTTTCTAAAAAGGTGACATGCCTAGACACATATAGCTTTTTGGTGGCAGGATCATAGCACTGATAACTTTTCTAATTAATGCCATATCCTAAAAAGACACATAGGAAATAACGAAACAAAGCTTAGAGCGCGCCCGTTTAGGAAGGAGCACAAAGCATGCAGAACCAAAAATACGTAGAAGAGAATAATTAGGAGTAACATCAAAAAGACGCTAATACGGAGATAAGCCTGAGAGAAGAGGAGTAGGCATCCGATTGAGAAGATATGCAACATTGAGCACAGCTTCGCCCCAGAAAACAGAAGGGACAAAAGACGAGAATAACAAAGAGCGACTTGTATCAAGGAGATGGCGAATTTGCATTCAGCTCGACCATTTTGTGCAGGAGTGTCAGAACACGAAGACTGATGAATAGTGTCATGAGTAGCTAAATATTCCTCAAACTCAGACAAGTAATACTCGCTCCCCAAATCAGAATGAAGAACTTTAATGGTGGTAGAAAACTGAGTGTGAATCATAGAGTGAAAATTAGAATATATTTTGTAAAAATCAGATTTTCGAGTCATCAAATAAACCCAAGTAAACCAACTATAATCATCCACAAAAGAAACATAATATTGCGAACCACCTTTGGTAACTATAGGGGAAGGATCCCAAATATCAATATGAACCAATTTAAAAGGAGAAGATGAAATAGAACTACTTTTATTAAAAGGAAAAGCATACATTTTAGCTAGTTTACAACCACGACACTCAGAAATATCATTAATGGAAAAATTGTCTAAATGTCCAGACCGAATTAACTTCCTCAACCGATCACTCGACAAATGACCTAACCTATAATGCCAAATATAAAACAAAGAGGACTTATTGTTTAAACAAAAAGAAAACAATGTAGTAAAAGACATTTTTGGAGGAACATGCAAGTTGTCCAAGATATATAGTTCCCCAACTCTACGCCTGATCCCAATCTGCCTCTTGGATACCTGATCTTGCACAACACAATGAGAAAAAGAGAAAACAATATTAAAACCGGAATCAGATAATTGACTAATAGAAATAAGACTGAGTAAGAGGTGAGGCACATAAAATACAGGAGAAAGAGACAAATGGGAAGAGGAAATAGAACCAATAGAGTGTACAGGCATAGAAGAACCATTAGCGGTAGCAATAGTGATAGAAGAAGGAGAGACACAATTACCGAGGAGAGATGCAACAGGGGTCATATGATGTGAATAACCAGAATAAAAGATCCACAAAGTGTAGATATTACCTGAAGAGGATGAACCAGACAAACCTAACTGAGTGGTAGTTATAGCGGAGGCCTGGGAGGAAAGATTTGGATTGGCCACCATGAAAGACTTGAATTGCTCAAACATAGACTGCATATTGGAAGATGGATCATTCTCAGAAACTGGTGCAGAAAAGGCGGCAGATGAGTGAGATCTTGAAAATGTTGGCTTAGCAAATGGTGGACCAGATGAACGACCCTTGGGCTGCAAAAGTTTAGGACATGCATGTTTCCAATGGCCTTTCTGATGACAGAAGCTGCACTCATCCATAGAAACCCGAGACTTGGGCTTACCAGCAATCTGAAATAAAGGAGAAGATAGGGTGGGCAAGAGTGGAGAAGTGGCAAAAATTGACTGGGAAGTAGGAGCACCATGAGCCACCTTAAATCAAGTTTCTTCCGCAATAAGCTCACGGGCAGCACCATTCACAGAAGGCAAGGGAGACCGATGAAGAATAGCGCTCCGAAGTGAAAAAGAAAACAATGTAGTAAAAGACATTTTTGGAGGAACATGCAAGTTGTCCAAGATATATAGTTCCCCAACTCTACGCCTGATCCCAATCTGCCTCTTGGATACCTGATCTTGCACAACACAATGAGAAAAAGAGAAAACAATATTAAAACCGGAATCAGATAATTGACTAATAGAAATAAGACTGAGTAAGAGGTGAGGCACATAAAATACAGGAGAAAGAGACAAATGGGAAGAGGAAATAGAACCAATAGAGTGTACAGGCATAGAAGAACCATTAGCGGTAGCAATAGTGATAGAAGAAGGAGAGACACAATTACCGAGGAGAGATGCAACAGGGGTCATATGATGTGAATAACCAGAATAAAAGATCCACAAAGTGTAGATATTACCCGAAGAGGATGAATCAGACAAACCTAACTGAGTGGTAGTTATAGCGGAGGCCTGGGACGAAAGATTTGGATTGGCCACCATGAAAGACTTGAATTGCTCAAACATAGACTGCATATTAGAAGATGGATCATTCTCAGAAACTGGTGCAGAAAAGGCGGCAGATGAGTGAGATCTTGAAAATGTTGGCTTAGCAAATGGTGGACCAGATGAATGACTCTTGGGCTGCAAAAGTTTAGGGCATGCATGTTTCCAATGGCCTTTCTGATGACAGAAGCTGCACTCATCCATGGAAACCCGAGACTTGGGCTTACCAGTAATCTGAAATAAAGGAGAAGATAGGGTGGGCAAGAGTGGAGGAGTGGCAAAAACTGACTGGGAAGCAGGAGCACCATGAGCCACCTTAAATCGAGTTTCTTCCGCAATAAGTTCACGGGCAGCACCATCCACAGAAGGCAAGGGAGACCAATGAAGAATAGCTCTCCGAAGTGGCTCAAATTGATCACGAAGGGCCATAAGAAATTGAACAAGATGTTGCTTCTCCCGATACTTGGTATAACTATCAAGTAATTGCAAATCTCCATCTCTACCTCCTCCTTACCAATCCCCTCTCCAAGGGTATTAGTAATACCAAGGGACTAATAGTCCCAAGGCCTTCTCCCAAAACAAACAAGGCTATTACTAATACCTTGGTATTAGCAATCCCAATACCCTCTCTTTCACCCAAAACAAACGGGGCCTCAAGTAATTGCAAATCTAATGGTTCTATCAAAGCAAGCTGATCCCAATAAGTAGTCATCTCATTGTAGAACTCCTGAATGGACTTATCTTTTTGACTATCATTGCGAATAGACATCTCAAGTTCATATTGTTTTGCAAAGTTAGACTTAAGGTATATAGTTTTCAAATAGTCTCAAACTTGTTTAGAAGTAGAATACTTGAAAAAATTCATACTAATGGTAGTTGGAACTGAATTATGAAACCAAATAAGAATTTGTGCATTTTTCTTATCTCATTTAGCAACATCGACCTCAGTTTCTTGGGATTTCATAGGTCTAATAGTCACATCAATAATATAGTTCCAAATGCCTTTACCCATTATAAAATTTTTCATTACATGAGACCAATAGGAGTAATTGGTACCATCTAACTTAGCAGTGATAGCTTGCAATTTATCATCAGCCATAATACTATAATTAAGCAACACAGTAGAATCAAAGCAGAGTCACTATTAAATAACCAGAGTTGCTATTGCTATAATTAAAGAACCAGTGAGGTCAAACTTATAATAACCAGAGTTGTGACCCAATCACCCTCAAATTGCAATCAGGGAGAGAACCAAGGCAAAGTGGAGAGAGAACCAAGGCAAAGCAAAGAGAGAGAGAGAGACAAAAACTGAACCTAAACCCAGAGGGCGAAGTCGATTTCAGATACCAGGTTTGGAGCAAGGTCGAGCACAAGGTTAGACTTTACTTTGATCATGCGAACTAGAGGGAGATACAGATTACCAATCAGAGTCACATAGAATCAATCAAACCAGAGGTACCAGTTGAGGGGTTGAGCTTTGAAGTGCGACGAAGAGAACAGAGAACCCCGGGCGAAGGCCTTGCAAAGAGAGAGAAAGGGACTGCAATTGTCGATGCTTTCTGTTAAAGGTATGCTAACGTCTGTAACTTGGCTTTGATACTATGATAACATATGAGAAAACTTGTCTCTATAGATTAATCAAAGGAGTACAAATATATAAGCGCTAATAGAATGAAACCCTAACAACCTGAAGGACTAAACTATTCTTCATGAATAATATAAACTACAATAATTCACAACCCCACCCAAGACTAGCAACTACGCATCCCATTTTGTAGAAGTAAGGTTGACTTCTCTCACTATGTATGTGTGAGTGTGAGTGTGAGTGTGAGTGTGCTTGCATGCTTCCCATTGCCATATGCACATGGTTGGGAGCATATATGTTCACTTGCTGCCTCGTTATCGCGAGACAATTTTTGGGGATTGTTTCCTCATGACACCTGTTCACACCCAGATATTCCATGCTTTTAGTATTCGTTCCTCAAGAGAAGGCTCTACGGTCTGAGATGATATTTTATTAATCAAAGTATTTGTATTCCGCAAGTTACTTTAGAATTCCTGTTAATAGAATGTAAAGAATTTTATTAGCATCACCATAGGTGGTGAACTTAAGTCAGAAACTTTTAGGCTACCTTGTAATAGAATGTTCCTGAATATTGCTCTAGTGATGGGCTTTACTTCCTCACATATGTCCCCTTTTTTTCTTTGTTCCTCTATTATGGTAAATGTTTTATAGTTTCTTCTAAGATGTAGAAGGTTTTGTTCTGCTGCACCAGTTTGCTTTTATGTTGTAGAGGAACTGATGGAAAATATTGTTGTGAGTTGTTGGAAAAAAAGAATGTTAACAAAGGAAGAGAAGCTGGATGAGAGGAAGGAGATGACAAAATTGCCCTTACTGTCTATATTATTTATGTCACCAATTATATTACTTAGGCTGTATTTGATTGCTGTTTTGTTAAAACATCATTGGTTGTTTGGTCCTCGAATGGGGAGTGCTTAGAAGGGCTGCACCCATACCCTTTTTGATTAAATATCTGTCAGTCAACCTTTTTATGTTTGGTCTTATCACATTGTATTGGATTATGAGCTATGGTGTTGTTGCCTGTTTCGTTGTGTTATCATTTTCTATTTCCTGTTTTTATTTTGGAAAACACATACTACTGATCTCATACTAATTTCCACTCCAATATAAATATCCTTAATCACTCCACTATATCTTTTTAAGCCCTCCACATACTCTTTGAAGATAACACCTAAAATTTTTCTTCTTTTCTTTTCTTTTAAGTAATACTAGTTTTTCCGTCAAAGTTAATAAACATCATATGCAGGTCTTTGTTCTTTTTCTTTAAATTTTACTAATTGCCTAAGTTGGAAGATCACATTCATCAAAGCATTCTTTTCATGATCCACTGTGAACAATAGCACTTAACTTCTCTAGGATGAACTGTAACAAGCAATTAATGACTTCGGGGTCCCAGTAGATCCACCATGTTGGTGAATGTGAACAGCGCACACAAAGAATGACTTTGAAGGAATTGAAGGTAGTAAATGAATACATTTAAGGATGAATCTCAGAAGTGTTAGTTGAAGATATGTGACAGAATCTTATGAAATGAATATTTTTTTTCTCACCCAGTAAGTCTTGCTTATTGGATGAAAATCTGTAAGAACAACTCCAGTCTTGAATTTTTGTACTTCAAATCTCAAGCAATTTATGAGAGGTAATTATTATTCAGGGTCACAATGGATTCTCTGTTGTTCAACATGAACATAGCTCACGTAGCCAAGGATTTTAAGAGGAACTATTAATAGTGAGTGGATAGATTTAGGCCTCGTTTGGGAACATGCTATTTTACTAATTTTTTGGCTTTTTATGAAAGGATGTGTAGAAAAGTAGAGAGAGTAAAGTAACAACTTATAGTGACTTTTTGGCTAAAATATTAAGCATCTCACAAACATGTCTTAGTTGTACCGGTACATAATATGATGGCATTTGGTTAATTGGATAAAACTCCAGGAGAACAACTTCACTACAACATTGTTTTAGGAAATGCATAAAATCACAGTGATTCTTAAGAGGTTACCATTTTTATCTCTTCCTCACCATTTTGTTTGTTTTGATGGCCAATCTCATGTCCATAATTATGATGATTCAGAATGCAGAAATTATATTTATACACAAAAAATTTAAGAATCCTTCTGTGTGTAGTATTGGCCGTGGGTTCTGAATTGGACCAAATGGCTTATTGCATCTATAGCCTCCCTCCCCAACCCAACCCCTCATGGAAGGAAAAATAATAGTTAGCCCTGGGTGAAGGACCATAAATATGACAAGTAGATTGTTTTTTAGTTTCATAGTTGTTTCTAGATAAAACCTAAAGTGTCAATCTTTTTGCCACTCCACTGGGCAATACATCAAACAAAGAGTGGAAGTATTTGGAAGATTGAACTTTCTGCTCTGGGCTACAGAGGATTCTCATCTAATAACTTTTACTTGTTTCTGATTCTTCATTGCAACAGTGTCATTTGAACATAGTTTCTCATGGTGTGAGTCTTTGCTTTGGGGGGATACCAGGCATTAACTTGATTAACATAATCTAGAATCTGAGTACGTAAAATGTGAGCTATTTGCACAGGAAGAGGTAAAGTCATAGCTACCTATACAAGCATTGGATCTTTCAAAACTTCCTACTTGTTCTCTTCCTATCACATTTTCTCTACGTTCTGTAACCTCTTACATGGAAAGTGTCAGAGCAGAAAATTCTATCAGGCTTGACAATAAATAGGAGTTTAGAAAGAAACATAAATTGACACATTTTTATCCTATCCTATCCTGAATCATGTCCTACTAAGAATTTATGCTTCGAAGCTGCATCAATGTGATCTTCTATCTAAAGTTTTTCATCTTCATAAGATATATAGATGGAATTAACCATTTGGTTAATATATCCAAAGCCATTCCTTCATGATTGAAGAAATTGCTATGGATCCATCATCCAATAAAATATTTATGTTTCAAAGTAGGTACAATTTTGCTAATTTTCAATTTGTTTGACAAATTAACAGCTTGAGCTTCTTGTTGTAATCCTTAGGTACTTGTATAGAGGCTTGTCTACTGGAGATCGCCCCACATGTGACCAATGTCTACGGATTCATGAAAAACTGACAGAGAGAGCTGGATTAGGTTGCATACTACGTTCACTCGCAGACACAGTGAATACTGTTTGATTCTTATCACTCATTGTACAATAAATCAGTTGTTTGTTATCCTTTCAACATGAATGCCAAAATTTGCTGCAACATAAAATGTCAATGACTTTGTTACAAAATTTGTGGAAAATACTTGTCAAGAGGCTTTCAGATTTTCATTCCAAAGGCCTAACTTGCATAGATCATGCAAGAATACACATTAATCCCCTACTATTCTGCATTAGTTATGGATGAATTGACTAGACATTGTACAAGATGAGGTACCATTGTGCATGCTATTTGCGGATAATATTGTGTTACTGGATGAAATAAAATTAGGGGTAAACGCTGTAATCAAGAGGTTTTAAGATAAGTAAGATTGACACTGAATATATGAAATGTAACTTCTTTTTTCTTTTTCTTTTTTTGTTTGTTTAGAAAAATGAAATGTAACTTTAGTATGGAAGGAGGGAGACTTTGGTATTGATTGTAATTAAGGCAAGACGAACTAAACGGAGGAACGCATCGGGTGACACATTAGCAAATTAGAAAATTATTCTAATTAAATGTAGTTAAGGTGAGGATGTTAAGATGGATGTTTGGTAAATCTAAGAGATATAGGATTAGGAATAAGCAAATTGATAGTAGAGGTAGTACTTATAAGAAAAGATGAGGGACAATATTATAATGTTAACTTGGTTGATGTAATCAAAGAAAATCATGTTAACTATCCTCATTGAAGATAATACTTGGGAATGAGGGTGACCAATATTATGGTTTAACTTTCCATTTTGATTTTGGATTTCACTATGTTGGAGCCCTAATTTTGCAGAATTTACTATTATAAGTTAATACACAAATATGATGTTCACTCTATTTCCTTATTTTTATTCTCATTTTTATTCAATATCTCACTAATTTTTACAAATTCACTCACAATAATATAGTAAGAGCATCTCTAATGGTAAATGCTATTATAACATTGTCATTGTTATAATTTGACAATAAATAGTAGCAAATTGTTAACCTATAGCAATGATGCTCCAATGGTAATTTATCATTTTAGCAAATTTCAACCAACTTTCCTTCTAATTTTGCAGATGTTATTTGGATATAGGTTTTTTAGTGATTTTTTTGTTCATCTTCTCGATGGACCAATTTTTGCGTTTTTCCTCTATTCGTTTGCTAAAATGGTCTGAGAAGATGAACAAAAATTGGAGGGAGGGAAATAATTGCTTTGTTGCACTTCATGGACATGAATAACAACTTCCAAAGCTTGTGTCAAATTTTGACACAAGGTTTGGCATTTTTCAAATTTAGTAGTTGCTATTTCTTACCATTGGAGCGCATTACACTGCTACAATTGCCAAATTATGGCAATAGCAGTTCCAATGGCTTGCCATTGGAAATGTTCTAAGAAGTTGAGTTTTATATGATTAAACATATGACAAATAAAAAATTAACGATAATCATGCCATATCACTGTCAGTCAAATTAAAGAATTTTTTTTTACAGATCTTAAACATTTTTCATATCTAAATAAGCAGTAATAGAAAATGGTGTGAAAATTCTAATCACATTGGGATTGTTTTGATATAACTTATTTTGCGGCTTATGACTCTTTTTTTGGGGTTAAATTTTCTTGTAAAAGTTTGTATTAAATTGTTTTATAAATGCTTATAAGTTATTAAGCCTAAAAAAAAATTGATTATCTAAAAATTGAAAAATAGCCATTTTTTGACTTTTTGTTTTTATTATTAATTTTTGATTTATTAAGTTGTATTAGATATAGGGTAAAGTGCCATTAAATCCCAAATTAAGGAATGTTGAACCATTTAATTTTGCCTTTTTTTTTATGGACCGATTAGTCCCAGTTTAAAATTAAAGACCTTTGAGCTCATGATTTCAGCCCGTGAGTAGAAAAATGTGAGTAAATATGGGTTTTACGTTATGTTAAATTTACCAAAATGGTCAAAAGCGTACTATAGTGTTTTTTGCTTGCCCTCCTACACGATCAAAACAGAAACGGTGAAGATGAAAAGTTCTCGATTTTGATTCCGATGTTATAGCAATGATAGACACTCAATTTCTTTGAATATTGTTTAATTTGATAATGTTAATGTTCATTCCCAAATTAACATTCCATTTTCCCCCCTCCCAAACCCTAGATTGCTAAAAACCCTCTTCTGGCGATACATTACGGTCATTGTGATGTTGGGTCATTTTGCCATTTTTGTCCAGTGGTTGACAGTGAAGACCACAGCTAAACATTGTTAGCGTCGGTGTTTATTGCTGGCACCCATCGCAACAAGTACGTATTTTGTTGATTTTTTTTTTGTTTTTTCTTTTCATTACGGAATGGTAAAATGTATATGTGAAGTTATATTCTGAAGCTTGTTTCGATGTGATTATGCGTTATTGTAATGTTGGATTGTACATTGTATGTTACTTTGTAATGTTAGATTTTACGTTGTTGTAATGGCAGGGTGGGAATCAAGTTATATTAAGGGATGGCCAAGTAGTGGCCTTTATAATGTGGTGTTAATTGTGATAATGTATCTGGGTGTGTTATTTTGAGAAATCCATTGGGGACCATTTAAACTTGGGGTAGTTGCAACAGGGTGTTTGTGATGATTGGGTTGTTTGTGTTGGTCTTGTTGTTTGTGTGTTAATGTGGATGAGGGACTCCTGCCTGTGAGGGTGTGTTTTTGAGTGTTGGGATCTAATGGTTTTGACACTGAAAGTGTTTTTTTTTTGGTAATGTTTTTGCCGAACATGTTTGTAAGGTGTATGAAGTAATTTTTGATGTCTTTTGTTGAAAGAAACCACACAGCATGTCAATCGCATGAACTCAGAATTGAACAACACCACCCAAACACCCATGTATAATCCTAAAGCAATCCACACCAAATTCATGTTAGAAAAATAAAATATCAACTGGGAAATATTAAAAACTCTCAAAACAGTTCATGCAATCCCCTCATAAAAAAAACAGTAATGTTATAACATTACCATACCTACATACACCAAAAAAAAAAAAATTCAAAATGAAATCACAAATAAAGGTAAAGAAGTAAATTTCAAAATCAATAAATCAAATAAAAGGTGTTTTGAAAAGATGGTAAAAAGTTGATTTTTAATTTTTTATCGAACTTTTTGACTTTTTTAGAAAATAATTTAGGAAGATGATTAAAAGTTGTTTTTGACTTTTTTGATTAATATTTATTTATGATATCACGTCACAATAAAATAACCAAACTACTCTACCCAATTCAAAAAATTTACATTTTCACTCATGTATAACCTTAAATTATATAAATGATATAACTGTAATTTTATATATATCTTTTTTAAACTTGCCAAATGATTCCATAAATAAAAAAAATCATCTAACTTTTTTAGTCCCCAAACTCCAAACACAGCTTTAACTCAACTTGTCAAAAGACCACCAAATATAACATATCAAAAATAAAAAAGGCTTATTAATTTAACAAAAATATGTTTAAGATTAAGGGATGATTTGGGATGATCTAAATAAGTGTACTTTTGAACTTTTTATGAAATATAAGTTAGGTATAGATTGAATTTAAAATGATGTGTTAGAGAAATAATATAACTTAAATAAGATAATTTAACTTAAATAAAATAATAATTTTTTAAAATTATAACAAATAAGATCTAAATAAAACAACACTTTCCATACGGGGACTAAAATATTTTTGAAGGGAGGGAGAGAAAGAAGTTGTTGGTCCTTGGAGGGCGGAATCCAACCAAGGGGTGGGGGCAAAGAGGTAGCAATGCAATGATGTCTGTGAGAGGCTAAATTATAGGTACCATTTCAGGCTATGAATGGCATCTTCTGAGCCCTAACTGGCATTCTAGGTCACACTTTGACCTGCAGCCTACCCCAGCTGAGCCATTTGTTTGTTAAAAATGCTTGGATGCTTAATGATGTGATAATAAAATAGTATGTTATGCTTTGTATTTTTTATTTATTTATTTTTTTTCAATTTTTTCTTCACTAGTGGTAGATTTAAAGCTCCTTATTTAAAGCTATAAATCATTACTGTTATTTGTTTGACAAATTATTCCATACTCCCAACATATAATGGCCCAGGAGTCTTAAAGCTTCATTAGTGTTGATTAATATAATTAATTTTTTTTGTGCTGAGATTTTTTGTCTAGTTTTTTTAGTCTTTTTGGTTTAAATTTTTTAAATTTTTGTGAAAGAAAAATATAATAATTATGCATTGGATATGATATTTTATCTTATTAACTTATTTAATCTATTTTGTCATTTTGTACCTTTTTTTTAATCCCAAAATAATAGTCAAACCAGGCTAAGAAAGACACTAGGCCTCCGTTTGGGAAGTGGATTGGCTTTTTGACTTTTTGGCTTTTTTGGCTATTTTAGCTTGGGCTTAAAAGCTTGGTTTGGGAAGAGCTTTTTGGCTTTTTTGAGTTTTTTTGTGAGAGAAGAATGTAATGATTATGGGTTGGATGTGATGTTTTGTTTGTTATGGCTAAAATAGCCTATTTTGTTTTTTGTGGCTAAAATAGTCAAAAAAACCTGCAAACCCACTTGCCAAACACAGGCTAGTTTAGTTTGGAAGTCTATCAATTTTTTTTTGAAAAATGCTATGGACTCTAAATTTTTTATCAAATATCTCATATGGGTATGAAATTTACAAAATTTACATGTGTGTGAATCTCATACCTATGTAAGAGATTTGATAAAAAAATTTGATAAATTATTTCAAATCCCTAACATAACTCAATTTTTTTATGCAATTTCTAATTATATTTTATTAAATAAAAAGAATTTAAAAAAATCAATTATTTAAAATTTTTAATTATTATTTTTCAACTTGTGGTGAGTTGCATTGGATCCTATATTCTTAACACATGACTACTTTAAAAAGAGTATCTCTAATGATTTATCATTGGAGTTACTATTGCCATAATTTGACAGTTGAAGAAGAAAAGTGTGCTCCAATGATTGGTTATGGCAACTATCATAACTGCTAACTCATCAAGCAAAACATCCCTTCCTCCCAGCAAAACATCCCTCTCTTCCTCTCTCCCAGCAAAACATCCCTCCCTCCCACCTACCCACCCACCATTTTTGCATGACCAAACATAGAAACTGGTGTGTTCAGGACGATTGACCAGACAACAGGACAGTCGTCTAAACACACCAGTTTCTATATTAGTTATGCCAAAATAAGATCTAACCATTAAAGCACCATTACTATAATTATATTATTCATTGTCAAATTAAAGTAATGACAATGCTATTATAACCAGGGACGGATGCAGGATTCCTTAATTTGGGGAGCCAAATTAATATTATAAATGTGGACTTAAATAATAAATAAATAAATAAATATCCACTAGCTATAACCATTTATGAAGCAACAAAGATTAAAATTCTTTATATATTAACACCTTGATATAACAAAAAATGTGTTACAAAATGACTATATCTTGTCTCCTTTACTGTAAAACTAACAAAAAGGCACATAATTTCCTATCAAAGTTGTGCTCGACGATGCTTCAGAGAATAGAAATCATCTAAAATCATTTCTGAGCTAAAATTTTCTGCGATTTCTTTCTCAATGTAAACAACCAAACAATCTGTAAGAAATTCATCTTCCATTTTGTTGCGAAGGCTAGTTTTTACAATATTCATTGCTGAAAATGCCCTTTTTGTAGTAGCAGTTGAAACAGGAAGTGTCAATATGAGAAGAATCAATCTATGAACCATTTGGTAAGTTTTTGACTTTCCTGTTTCAACTAACCCCCGGCATAGTTCAGAAATTGTGGAGAGATTTTGTAAATCCGGATGATGAGGCACATCAAGCTCAAAGTGTTGCAACTGAAATTTCAAATGAATTCTTTCTTGCTCTGTGAAATCTTGAGGATAGAATTTCTCAACAAGAGTGCAAATATCATCAATTTTTAATGAATTATATGCACTCTTAGGATCCAAACTTGAGCTAAGATTAAGGAACTCCATTGCTTGCTCACTAAACCGATGATTTAGTTCCTGTAACTGAGAGTCGATTGCAACAATAAAGATATCTATTCGATAGTGATACTCGATTATTATGTGATTTTGTTGAATACGAGGTGGACCTCGACTTGCACTGTATCGAGCACTCATGTTAGGTATTTCAATCTCATATCGTTCACAAAATAATTTTACTTCCCCAACGAGACTGTCCCAACCATGTTCTCTCAACTTTTGAATAAGTGCTTTTGTAGTTGCAACTAAATGCATAGCATTTGAGATGTCTTGGGTTTTTTGCTGCAAAGCTTGACAAAGAATATCAGTTCTACCCATAATTTCCCTCATTAAATGCATAATAAAAACAAACTCAAAGGATGAAATCATATCATACGCTGTATCAGCATCCCCACATTGAGCATAAGTGGATCCATCCTTGACTACGTTTTTAAGAACTGTACAACTTGCCCCAAACATCTTTATTAAACTACATATTGATTTAAAATGTGAGCTCCATCTAGTATCTCCAGCTCGTTGCAAAGTGCCAATTTGATTTGCCCCTCTTCCGGCCTCAAGTTCATCAATGGAAATCAAGTGTGCAATTTCAGTAACTTGAGCGTCATGTAGTTCATCATTACGCTTGCAAGATGCACCAACAATATTAACAATGAAAGTTAACTTAGAAAAGAACTTATGAACTAGGATTACCTCTCTTGATGCCGCAACTAGTGCTAATTGTAGTCGATGAGCCCAACAATGTACATAATATGCATAGGGGCATTCATTTCGAAATAAAGCCTGTAATCCATTCCACTCGCCACGCATATTACTAGCACCATCATATCCTTGTCCACGAATGTTTTGAACATCAAGACTATTTCTACAAAGGACATTAGCTATTTCCAACTTAAGAGTCAAGGAAGTAGTATCTTTAACATGTACAAGATCGAAGAAATGCTCCCTTACAAAACCAACTTGGTCAACAAATCTCAAAACAATAGCCATTTGTTCCTTTTTGGACTCATCTCGAGCTTCATCTACAATTATGCAAAACTTCGAATCCCCAAGTTCTTCACGAATCTTATTTCGCACCATACTTGATAAAATATGTAAAATTTCTTTTTGGATGGTTGGCGAAGTATATTTGGCATTTTTAGGGGCATTCAAGACAACATCAGCAACTTTTTCATTGTACACTACAACAAAAACTAGCTATAACAACGTTTTTTAGACAACGTTTTTCTGAAAAACGTTGTGGAAGATGTAAAGTAAGATTAAAAGACACGCGTTATCCTCAATTTCTCTTTCCGTCTATCGTTTTCTCTCTTAATTTGTCTGTATAGTTTTCTCTCTCCTTCATAGATCTAGGGTTTTCTTTGTCTCCTTATGCTCCTTGAGAGATTCACCTGGGTTGATTCCGATTACTTATTCAGATCTAACTCTAAATCCATCGATTCTTGCATCGATTTGGTTAAAATTTCTTGACGGTTTTTTGTTTTTGTTTATTCTGATTTTGATGATTTTGCAGAGGAAGATGGTTCGGTTGAGTTGCACAAATCGGCAGAGTCACGAGACCGAGAAGGGAAGAAGGATCAAGATCCTCGGGAGAGTCCTTTTTGCCTCTGTTTTCATTCTCTCTGCATGGCAAGAGTAAGCTTCTCTTTTTTTTTTTTTGCACTTCTCCTTCTTCGCTCTGTTTTATCAGATCTGCTATGTTCTAACTCATCTCTTATTATGTATGAGTAATTCATTTGATGTTCTTCATTGATATGGAATTATTGGTGAGAAGATGTTAGGGTTTTGTTGCTGCTTTTAGTGAATTTTTTGGTTGCAGTGCTTGTGGCCTTGGATCTGAAAAGTTTGAGATTTGCCTTGGTAGAACATTTGATAAAATATTTGGGGTCCCTAGCATTTTTCTTTGACAAATGGCCTTAGGATGCCAATAGAGGGTTCTTGCACATTAATTATTATTTCATCTTGTCTTTCATATGTTGTATATTTATCATCCCATCTCTTTAATGATTTGTAGAGCTCTGGGAAATCTTCAATGTTGGAGAGTGTTGTTGGAAAGGACTTTTTGCCTCGTGGATCTGGTAATAATGCTTCCACATTTTTTCTAATGTTACAACATGGTTGTAGTATATATAATTTAAGATTTTCATAAACTTATAAAATCCTTTGAACTCTAGAAATAATTTGAAACTATTATATGTAGGAATTGTTACCAGACATCCTCTTGTCCTACAACTTCATAGGATTGATGAAGGAAGAGAATATGCAGAATTCATTCACCTTCCAAAAAAGAAGTTTACTGATTTGGGTATATTTCTTGTCGCAGAAGTGACATTTTTCTGGAAAATAACTGGTGTTGTTGCTACCCAGTCATGATTATTCTTTTTCTCTTGTTAAATAGCCTTGTATTTAGTGTTTACCTTGATTTTAGCAAGAGGTATTTCAAGCTAATGTCAGTCAGTATATCATCTTTGTCTAGATTTAGTCCTAATGATTGATATGCATTTATTTGGTAGTTCTGATCTTGTATATGTACCATTGATTTTCTATCTTTTAGATCTCAAATGCTAAATCCTTGGTTGTATCTTGTGCAGCTGCTGTGAGGAAGGAGATCGCTGATGAGACTGATCGAGAGACTGGCCGTTCAAAACAAATTTCAACTATTCAATTTATCTTAGTTTATATTCCCCCAATGGTGAGAAAGAGCATTGCTTGCCACACTATCTTACTCTTTCTGCACTCGACTTTTTCCCCTTGATTTATTAAAATGAAGTTTATTTACATGTCGGTCAACCACACCTGATCGGCACACAAGACTTAGCTTGATTTTGGTATTAAGCTTTTGTCAACCATGTTTTCTGATTCACAATTTGGACTAAAAAAATAGTTGGTTATTAAAAGTTGTGCTCCACTTACTAAATTTGTTTGATATTGAAGTTAGGGCTTTAACAAATTGTTATGCACTTCTAAGCTATTATCTCTCCTTTAATAGTTATCAAATGATTGCAGTGTGCGCATCAAAACCTCCCTTTTGCTTTGCTCTTCTTTCCATTATTCTCTTGCACAGAATGTGGCATTTACCTTGGATTTTCTTTTAGTTGCTAAATGTGGTATTTATAATTTCTTCATTTCATTATTATGTTTGTGTGGCTTTGCAGTTGTGAACCTGACACTAATTGATCTTCCTGGGCTTACAAAAGTAGCTATTGGTGAGATAGCAAATCTCAATGTTTGCATGTCTTTTCTTATTATTATTCTGATTGTTTTGATCATTGTAGATGGCCAATCTGAAAGCATTGTGCAAGACATTGAGAATATGGTCCGGTCCTATATTGAGAAGGTAATTACTATTCAAATTATGATTTTGTTTGCTTATGGGGATTACCTAACTCAATGAAAATATTTACTTAGATTTTTCTGAATCTCTTGTGTATGTTTTGGGAAACACTGCAATTCTCCAAGAGAATTTAGTGAAGCTCAAAAGTTGTAGCAATAATGTGAAAATTTACTGTTTATGATCTTGGTAAAGTTCAACATGTCAAGTAACTAAGTTTACCTTTAATTTTAATAAATAAGATTTCCAGCTCATGTTGTTTAAATGTGGGTGTGTATATATATAATTATTTGACTCATGTTGATAATGAATGTCTAATTGCTTAGTTTCTCTTACACGAGTTTGCTTTGTTACCAGTTTGAGGTATTGTTTTCCCTTCATCCAACTTCAGCAGTTTGTGGGTTTCCTACAGAAGAGGCATTTGTTCTAATTGCAGAAACTGGTATATGTATATTGCTATATCATTTTTGTTCTCCAATCTGTGTTTTATGGCTTGCTTACATCCACGCGAAATTTTTAAGATGGGACATAATTCAATTCTTGGCTAAAGTTGAACAAGAAAGGAATCAATGATCTAAAGAAAGTATGCATACTTATCTTGCCTAGATGGAATCATATATCATGATTTATACTTCCTTGTAAAGCTTATGTGTTTACTGTCCATTAGTGCGACTCGTCTAATTTGAAGTACATATAACAGTGATAAAAATTGTACTATTAGTGAATTCAATCTTTACTCTAGAACACTAGATTTAGCCTAACTAACATTGGTCATATTATCGTCCTTATGGTTTTGGTTTCACTTCCTGATGTGTTTTGGCAAAAGACCTTTGGTTTATTTTGAGTAATGATGCTCAATTCCTAATTGATGCAGCGGAAGATGGATTTGTATCAAGTCATAGACAGAGAAATTTAAAGTGGTTTCTGAATTTTTACTACACATTATATATATTTTAGCTGTGGTTGCTAAATCTCTCTCTCTCTCTCTGTTTTTTGTGTATACTGTTATATATATATATATGCTGTTAGAATTGCAATATTACTTGGGATTTGCTCTTTATTTTAAATTCAAGTTTATTTTATTTTAGTTTATTTATTTATTTTTGGTTTCAAAGGAATTGGAAGTGATTGAAGTTTTTCTAATTGGAATGGTGTTGCATTCATCATTGATTTGAAATATAAGAATAATATGCTCTGGGTTCATCACTGATGCCACTCCGATTGTTAAGGACAAACTTTGATACTTTAATTCTGAATAATTTGAGTGCTATCTTTCTCTTTATTCTCCAAATGGGAGTTCTTCTTAGTGGGGAGAATTGATGAAGATCGTTAAGGCAGCAATATATACGTAGTGTTGGTGTATGAATTTTATTAGATTTTGGCATAATTGAAGTTATTAAGAATTTTTGTACCCCCCCTCTCTCTCTCTCGTTCTCGAATCTCAGATGTGAGGGTCTGGAGGCGGGTGATTATTTAGGCTTAATGAATGAACCTGTTATATGATTATTTGGGCTTATTCATGTTATTTGTTCTTGTCAAATGCAGGTTCACATATCAAAGAAAGGAAAGAAGAAGAAAAAGTAGATATGACAAACTCAATGAAAGAAGGCCGCTGGAGAAATTCTCTTTTGGAGCAACAATTAAAGCATTGTCTTAGGAGTTTTTGAGTTGTTTTGGGAAAAGATTGAAAGCTGGGGGTGTTATTCAAATTTTGAAATTAAATAAACAGATTTATGAAGAAATCAAATTATATATATACTAAGAACACATGCTAAATTTCAACAGAAATACACAAAACAATAAAAGGGTAAAGAGACGAAACCGAAGCCTACACGGAAGCAGTTTCCTTAAAACAGATTTCGCCACCTCACTGGTTGAGTGCTTGAGGAATCCCGGCGTCTGTCTTCCAGGATACGACGGTAAAAACCAGCTACGGCAGAAGCACTCTCTGTCTAGCTTAGCGAACAAAACAGTGGCAGTGTCACGACCCAAACCCGGCCCTATGGGTTTAGCACCGTAACCGGCCAGTAAGTACTTTAATCAGTTCAATTATCAGTCAGTTATCAGTCATTATCAGTTCCGTTTAGCAGTAATCGGTGATTATCGGTAATCAATCAGTCCCTAATCAGTAAACAGTATGAGGGTTGTTACAGGCAGCACTCTCTCACTGTAGGAACTTTCAGGCAAACTGACTTGTGAAATGGAAGTAAAAATTTCTGTATTTGAGACTTGACAAGAGGGTCTCAATTTATACATGTATAGGGGAGAGAGGAAGAGCCTCCAGCCTTTATGGTTGTTCATAATGCACCATTAACCTCTGCAATAAAGGCAGGAGTTACAAACCCCATTAATGCAGGAGTTACAAACCACATTAATGCAGGAGTTACAAACTTCATTACCTTTTTTCCATGAAGCTAACTTCATGAGGTAATTTCTCATTCAAATCTCAATGGTTTTTGGCCATTCTATCTGTGGTGTAAAGATCTCAATTCAAAGTATCTAGACCCACTTGGACCCAACACAATAGATGGTTGGGACTCACTTTAATCTTTAATTAATGTCACCACACTTTAATATTAAATTAAAGTCCCCAAAAATCATTTTTTCCAACAGGGGGAGGGGGTGGGATGGAAACCTTATGTTTGGGTCCCATATTAGTGACAGGTTGATGTAGTTGCATCTCCATTGCTGGCTAATAAAAGGGAGCCTCGCCAAGCCCATAACTATTGGAAAAGGTGCTTCATATATGTGTGTGTATTTGATGCACACTACTCTTACATGTAACCTGACATATTCTATTTTTCTACATGATGAATAGAAATGTAGCCTTTAGTTTTATGTTCTTTGATTGGAAGATGACATTCAAACATAAATTCTTTAGGAGGCCAAACTGCTATTCATTTATGTTTGGTATTCTGGTTTTGCCAAATAAAAAAAAAAAAGAAAAGAAAAAGAAAAAGTGGCATTTTTTAAAAAATGCCACTAAATGACGCCATTATGACGTCATCCGTTAGTTTGTGACGGAAGTTGAAACAGATGTCAAAGATTTTGCGGCGTTTTCAAAAATGTCGTCTAGTATTTTTAGCGACGTTTTTCAAGCGTTGCAAAGCTATTGCGGCAGCCGTATCAGCGACGAAAATATTAAACGTCACTGTAACTTTTTATGGCGTTTTTCAAGCTTTTAGCGGCGTTTTAAAAATGCCACTAAAACTCCAATTTCCTATAGTGGTATGTGGCTAAAAACTTTATCAACTCAAGAAAGTTACCTCGATTTTTTGAATTGGGACGTTCGTCATGGCCTCTAAAAGCACAACCTTGAGAAGTTAGCCAACGAACACGGTCTATTGACGCCTTTAGTCACAAACGATTATTCATAATCTGTTCAGAAGATTGCCTATCCATAACCTTATCAATATGTTGGGATTGCTTCATCAAAATATCACAACATTTCACGGCATTATTATGAGTTGAACACTGATCCTTACCCATATGGCATAAAAAGGCACAATTAATTCCATCATTCACTTTCTTCCAATTTCGAAATCCATCAATAGTGAATGCATTAGCTCCAAGCCGACCAGTTGATTTTTTACTAAAAAGATAGCATGGTAGGCAATATGCAGTATCTTTTGAAGGAGAGTACTCTAACCAATGAAATATATTGAACCAAGATGACTGAAATCGACGAGGATGATTTATAGACCCAGACGGAGGATATTTTGAAAGAAGAAACTGATATGGTCCTGTCTTGATATAAGCCCTTCGAGTTTCATCTTGTTGATTAGTTGGATAATTCCATATTTGAGGACGTATCCCAGGATCACGCTCTAAGGAAGAAGTGTTTACATCTTGACATTCAACTCGTGAATTTTTTGAAGGATGTTGATCAGGAATTGAAGTCTCAATATTAGAGTTCAAGTTAGGCACATCAGATGTTGAATTATCAACACTCTTTCTTTTAAAGAATGTATCAATTGTTTTTAGCTTCCCCATGACATGAACACATTTAAGCTTCTGATAACCTGAAAATTTTATTTATACATTATTTTTTTTATGAATCTAAACTTTTGATAACTTCAAATTTTATTTATATTACAAGCACATATCATCTTTAAAAATATACAAAACATTAAATAAATTCAAACATAAAATATACAATTTATATAAACATATTAAAATTAACAAACATAAAAACAGGGAGACTTACCTTCTATTGAGAAAAAAGGAGAAATACTGATGATAGTGATAAGTGAGAACATGTCCAAAAGCTGGGAGTCATCTTCTCTACTAATCATAAGGAAAAAACCAAAATAAAAGTGAATATCTCATTCTCTATTTATTAACTAAATATTTTAATTTTAAAATAAATTAATAAAAACAAAGTGAGTTCATGAGTTATTGAATATTACCTTTCTTTGTCAATTGCTTTCTAAAAGGTGGGTTTTGCCGTTAAGAGTTATTGGTTCTCTTAGTTCATAGCAGAAAAAAAAAGAAGAGAAAACCCTTTCAAATGAGAGCTCTATTTTTTTTTTTTTTTTTTTTTTTTTTGAACTGCTCTAATCTGAGATGTTTGCTTGTTTGTTAAAGCTCCAAACTTCCTCTACAAGCTTGACATCCCATCCCACCACGTGACTCACTTGTGAGTTGTAACTTGTATCACATGACTTTTATTTGTTTTTTAGTTTTTTTTATTCACAAATATTTGTTTGTATCATTGGATGAGGTGGGGCCCAATCTTTGAAATGGGAGGGAAAGAAGACCAAAGGTGAATACAAATAAGGAGGGACCACTGTTAAGTGATTACATAAAAAATATATATTTAACATATATATATGTATGATTTTTGCTGACTTTGCTAGAGCCGGGACCCCCCGGCCCCCCATTCCCTCCGCCACTGATTATAACATTTGTCATTGAAAATACTCACAGTTAAAAGTCAATTTTTTAGCTTTTCGAATTTTTTAGATTACATCACTTTTCTACTATTTTATGTATTTTTTGAATTTTTTCAAAAAAAAAAAAGTTAAAAAATCAATTTTTAACTACTTCCCATATGGCCAACAATCTTACAATTCTATGAGTTATACAATCACTTATATCTATTGTTGAATGAAAGTAACACGTGTGATTGTAATCGTGTAAATACATAATTTCATGAGTATACAATGGTTTATTTAGTGTAATTTATTAAAATTTATGTTAAGTGTTTATTACAAATTTATCCTTTATAACTTATGATACAAAAGTAATTTACAAAAACTAAAAATGACTAATTATTTGAAAATTAGAAGGTGTGATTTTAATTTTAATTTTTTAACTATCAATTGTTAAACTAATATTTTCAATAATATTTTTTAATAACTAGCAAAAACAAATATTTTTAATGCAATAATCTTATAATGACAATTTAAGAGTGATTTAAATCCCTAAACAGGATCAATTAACTAGTTTAAGAATTTAAATCATCCTTAAACTACCATTTCAATATAATCTAGAGATTTTTAATTTTTAATTTTTAAAAATTTACACCAAATAGATTCAAGAATATTTTAGAAAGATAGTTAAAAACCATCTTTTAATTTTTAGTCTATTTTAAATTATATCATCTCTCATATTTTTTATATATTTTTATAATAAGAAAAATAAAAAATCAGCTTTAACTATTTTTGCAAAATCGGCCTCAATAATACATAATGATTCAATTATGTGGACAGTACCCAACAATGATGTCCTTAAGATACGGGCACAGAGTCGCAGACTTTTCCCTGCCTAACTCTGCCCCCACTACAAAAAAAAATATAAATAAATAAATAAATAAAATAAATAAATTACAAATACACCTTTTAAAATTTATTTAAAAATACAAATATTCCTTTATTGAAAAATTATAAATATTTCTTTATTAAAAAATTTTATTTAATAGAATTAGCTAAAAAAATAAAATTCATAATTGTTTTCTTTTACAATAATAAAATTTTCTAAATTATTAATTGAAACAAATTTTTAACATCATTAAAATTTGTTAATTGACTTGATGATTTATTAATAAAATGGGTAATTTGTTATGAAATTAGAAATCTCAGGGGTATAATGTAATTTTCAAAATCACAGAAGGTGATTCGTATTTTAATCAAACCTCAGGATTGTATTTGTAATTTACCTAAAAAAAAATGAATTCATTCATAAAATTTTAAAATATAGGATAATTTATAAATACACTCTTGAAATTTGATTAAAATATTAATTATTTTTTATAATTTTAGAAATTACATTTTACCTCTCAAGATTTTTAATTTTATAATAAATTGTTATTTTATTAATAAATTATGAAGTCAATTAACAGTTTTTAATGATATTACAAATATGTTTTAATTAATAATTTAGGTAATTTTATTATTATATAGGAGAACATTTATGAATTTTATTTTTTTTAGTTAATTATGTTAAATAAAACATTCTGACAATGAAATATTTATAATTTTCCAAATAATAGAAGACAATATATATTTTAAACAAATTTTAGGAGGTTTATTTGTAATTTATCCTAAAATATATGAACAAAAACATTATAATTAGTTTAAAATAGTGAGTTTTATATATTTAAGCTATGTTTGGTTTTGACTTTTGGGTTAAAAAAGCACCAAAGATAAAATTGACTACATAAGCCAATAAGATAAAATATCATATCCA